AGTAATTCCTCTAAGATAACTTTGCATTTGATTAAACCCCTCTAGGCATTATATGCTCTTCTCTCCATCAATTTTAGATCTCTTGTAGTTCCCTTATCCCTGAGTTTGTTGGCTCCCCACTCCCTCTCCCTCCCACTTCCTCTCCCATGTGCCCCCTGGAAGCACCGGTCCTGTTGTTTTCTCCTTGGGATTGTTCATCCTGCCTGTCTTATATAGATAGACAAAGGGAAAAAGAAAAAGAAAAACAAACAAACAAAAACAGAAAGAAAAAAAACCCCAAGCGATCATTCCAGGTCTGCCTGCTGACACTTCTGCATGTTTTCTGATCAAATCTGAGGAAGTGCCAAGCTCTGTCCCCCAAGCCAGATTCTATTTTAAGGATTCCTCAGGGATTTGGTTACTTTGCTCCACTTGCTGCCCTGCTGCATTCCCTTTGCGTTTCACCCTGGTATGCGTGGAGCAGACCAGGCTCAATTTCTGCACAGTGTCTCCAGTGCTGTCACCTTCAAAGCTGTCTCCATTACACTTAATACACTTGTCAAATCTGCAATTTCATTCTTGAAAATGTTTTTCAAATTCATCTGTTTGGATGGCTGACAGAACCCTCCTTGGTTTTTTTCTTTGAATTGCTGTCCTTTCATGTCCCTCCTCATGTGCTATAAACAAAAAGAAGTCCCACAGAACAAGGTCAGGTGAGGAAGGTGCCTGGGGCAAGAGAGGCATGCTGTTTGTGCCAAAAGCTGGCACACTGAGATGGCTGTGTGAGCAAGTACATCGTCATGATGGCAAAACCAGTGCCCCATCTGCCACAAATCAGGGATTTTTGTCACACACTGCTGTGCTAGCTTTTCAGAACCTCTAAATAGAAAGCTTGATTAACAGTCTTACCTGATGGAATGAACTCCAAATGCACTACGAGTTGACCTTTTTGTTTGTCAGGGAAGTTGATGGATGTCCAGATCGAGGTTTGTCATCAATTGACATTTCACCTTTTTTGAAATAAACAACTACAAAAACACTCATACACTTGGGTTTTTCCCATAGCACTCTCCTTGTAAGCTTTATTCAACATCACAACAGTGTCTGCGACATTTTTCCTGAGCAGGAAACAAAATTTCACAGCTGCACGCTGTTCTCTTAAATCGACCATCACAAAACAGTGAGGTTCCAGTGAAACTGCTTTCATGAAAAAATTCACTGCGACCAGAGAGAACCTTCCCAGGAAGTGCCACTGAGTGCACTAGCTCAATGGAGTTGCTTGATGCTCACCTAGTGGGAAAAATGCATATGAGGAAAGCTAGGAGCACGGCTTTTTTCTGTTTGTTTGTTTGTTTGTTTGTTTTTTTAGGGGGTAGCTGCTCATATGATTTTTAAGTTGTCATTTGGTGGTGCACCTGGACTCTGTCCAGGAGCTGAAAGTTCAGGGGTTTTGGTACCTGCAAAGCCTCAATGTGTTTTCTCCTTATCTTTCCCAGATGGTCCACATGCATAGTCTTTTTCTCTCGGATTGCAGCCTGCATTACATGGCCCCACATGAAGAGCGATGACCACAAGATACAGAGGCTACTTCAACATTTCAGTTCTCAGCTTCTCAGTCTGAGTCAGCTCCAGCACCTCACCCTGCATTCTGTCCTCTTCCTCAAGGACCACTTCGACCTGCTACTCAGATTATTGCAGGCCCCCTTGGAGACCCTCTGCATAAGACATTGCGTACCTGGGGACTCTGTCTTGACATACCTGTCCTCGCTTCTCTGCACCAGTCACCTAAGGACCCTGGATATGAGTGGTGTAGGGAGGGCTGGCTATCACTACGAATTCCTCCCTGTTCTGCTGAACAGAGTTTCAGCCACCCTGGATTCCCTGGATCTAGCTGACTCTGGCATCCAGGACCTTGACCTCAATGACTTGCTGCCTGCTCTGTGCACCTGCTTCCAGCTCAGAAGCTTGATGCTCTGTGGAAACCTATTGTCCATAGCTGTCCTACAGCACCTGCTGGCTCTCACTATCCCAAGGTGCAAGTTTACCTTTCTCCAGCTCCCTGTCCCTCTGCATTGCTATGTGGGCCCCCAATTAACTCTGCATCAGGGTACCCTTGATGAAGTGATTGTGGAGGTACGGCAGATCCTGCAGCCCTATAGGCACCTAACAGTATGCTTTGATTATAGGAATTGTTACAAAGTTTGTGATGTAATATATGTCCATCTGAACAACTAATGCCAAGACCCTCTGCTTTGCCCTCTGCTCTAAACCCTAACTTGACCTTCACAAGGATGAGGTCATGTTTGCTATGTTTCAGAAGGAGGCTGGAGGTATTGGTCAGAGGATGAACTGATGTATACAGCCTGACTGAAGTCAACCCCTGATTGCTTCACATTCATCTTCGTCACGGGACAGACAGGCAGATAAGCCAATCAGTAGGGGCCATGATGGCCACCATCAAGAAACAAGAGCCAGGAGCAAAGTAGATCCCTGGAAATGGAGATCCATGCTCTGGGCACATGCAGGAACTGGACAACAAGAATGCCAAGACACAGGAGAGCTGCTAGGACAATGACCTTCCCCACCTCCTCTTAAGTGAGAAAACCACCGACTGCAGCCTTGCCCTACATTTCTGTTTCCTACCTCTACAATGATGCGACAGTAAGCATCGGTTGTTAAATCCATCCGGCCTTGGTACTTATGTCTCCTGTAGCAAGACTACAAAACCTGAGAACGCCCACGATTGCTGTTGGAGGTAGTGACCATAGAACCAGCTCCAAACAGTGTCTGTTCGTAGCACTGCACAGTGCGATGCTGTCTCGGTCTTTTTGTGCCACGATGGCCCCCGTAGAACCACGAGGGCGGAGTGTACCCTGTCAGGTTGGAGCTTGAGTGGAGGGCAGCTGAGAGTATTTTGTTTGGTTCATGTATAAGAGGTTATTTTTTCTATGAGAATGTGGTCATTTAGAGGTGACGATGACAGGAGGCATCTACTTTACCCATGTCAACCCTTTCATAACTGTCTTCTACAAGACATGGAAAGAAAGAGAGGTTAGCAAACAGTATGCTGAGTTTCTTCAGGAGAGGGCAGGCAGGAGCAAGGCATGTCCTTGGAACCTAAGGTCCCTGCCTTAGGAACCTTCTGGATTTAGGAGAACTTAGATGTCAAGTCACATGGAGATTTCCAAGGAAGTCAGAGACCCCAGATTTTTAAAGAGACCAGTCCCTTCACCTACAGATAGCCAAATGCAAAAAAAATCTAACAGCCATGTCTATATTTCTGTAAACTAAGACACCTAAATTAAGAAAGAATAAATTTCTCTTTGTAAAAAAAAAATAGTCATTTGGATGACTAAATGTGTATTTGAACTATATCTTTAGTGTGATCATTCTATTGACTTCCATGAAACGATTGACATGGTGTCCCTGCCTATGGTGCACGTGTTTCTTCTTAAACTAAAGATTAAACAAGACACATTCACGCGCTCTAGGAATTAGGTTGACCTTTAGTTCAACCACTGTTAAGAGAAACACAACTCTACACAATAGGACTTATTTAAAGAAAAGGAAGTTGAAAAAGAAATCCCTAAAACTTTTATTTCAAGGCACTAAAGCTTTCTCACCATCAGGGAAACAAGCACCATTGAATTGCTCACATAATCTGCATGAAGATCTGTTCATTGAAAGACACTTTTCAGTAGGTGAAAATTTTTAGGACTCCAACTTAATTATGCATCCAGAGTAAGTTTTTAGTGCAGTTGTTTTCTAAATACATTACGACTCTTTTCTGTTGGTTCTTCAGTCTATAAGCTCATGAAATTTCTCAGTGAAAATATTTATGACATGCTTGTTGGAATTTTGCTTTTATTTTATATGAAAAGAAAGAAAGAAAATTCTAGTGTGTTACTTAAATGAAGGTAGAATATTTAAAAGTTGGTATAAATAGGTAAAAATAATACATTTTAGAGATAGCTTCACATGAAAGCATATTTATGATTTTCAAATTTCATTTTTACACATTATATAACAGAGTATATTTACTGCATTATTTAAATTGTTACCTTTTAGCTTAGAACAAATTTGCTAACATATAATTTAAAATTAAATAATTATCTAGTACTATGTCTGGCATATGCATGTGCTAAGAAATTGTCAGTACTAGATCAATATTGAATTCATGAGTTTTAAGCCAACAGAGAACACAGAATATTATAAAATAATTTTCATTTATAGATGCACAGCGATGTTTACATCAGTACTGTCTACTTAGCAAAATTATGTAAACAATACAAATGCCTGTATGTGGATTAATTCGTACTTAAACTCTGATGCATACAAATAATAATACATATGCATCCCTAGAACGATGAATGCCTACACTGTCGAACATTTCATGACATGGACAATTTTTGAAGACATTATGCTCAACAAAATTAGTCCATCCTGTTAAGAAAAATATTATATGAGAGTACTGTTATAAGGGAAATAGTTAAGAAAAACATTTTCCACACCAAAAGAAGCAGACTTTGATAGGTATGGGGAAGTCAGAGTATTTGGGTGGGAGGGGGAAGGAGGGAGATGGGAAGAAAAAGGAGAGACAGAAATACAAAACTTAGTTGGCAATTGTTTTCTTATGTTTTATTAAATTTCAAAAGAATATCTGTTGAAAAGAGATACACACGGATAGAGACACACAGAAACATGAATAAGGGTGTGGATCTAATTTGCATCTAGTATTCTTACTTTTAAATATATGTTTATTTATTTGGTTTGACAGAGTAACTGAGTCTCTGGAACTAAGAATAGGTTACTTATTCCCAGAACATCTTACCACGAGATCTCTCAGTCCTGAAAGCCACGAAGTGACGTGATAAAAGCTTAATTTTATGAAAGTCACATCGCAGAAGAGGAATCACAAAATACAGAGAAAATAAGAGAGCTGAAACATCAACACCATTTTCTTTTTGAGGAGAGGCAGAGACCCCTCCTGCTCCTGCACCACACTCACAATTGATCTCATGTTGGGCTCCATTGCCGCAGCTGTGGGGCAGTACTTCCTCTTCTGTGCTGCCCTCCACTTTACCAAGCACGATGGCCTGCCTCAGGGACTGGTCTCTCCTGACAATGTACCAAAGTTAAATATTTGCACAGAAAATCCACATTCTGCATATTCATAATTACCAATATAAAATATGCATTGCGTTAGCACTTACATTTTATGTTAATCAAGGATATTTTATTACATAAAACTCTCCTACCTTTCCAAAGTTTAAAAGTGAATATACATGTGATAAAATTTACTAGGATTGCTGTTTAAATGGACTCGTGGGTACAACAGATGCATTAGCATTTTAAAATGTTAATCAAGAATATTAGTATAAATTAAATCTCTATATATTCACTCAGAATTCACTTCCACGGAGTCACTGCTGACTCATAGTAACCCTATAGAGCAGAGTAGAACTTATGCTGTGGGCGTCTAGGACTCTAACTTTTTAAGGGAAAAGAAAGCCGCCTTTTCTCCAGCTGAAAGGCTGGTAGTTTCCCTCGGATGCCCTTTCCGGTAGCAGGACAGCTCGCAGCCCACTCCACCAGTGGGAGTCTTCCCCATGCCCTAGGAGAGATTAACTGATAGGTAGCTAAAATTAAAATTGTCACCAATGTAAATTAGGAGAAGCCAAAACTACAAAATACTCTGATGCTAGGACTCATTGGCATTTGTTTGAATCCTCTCCGTAGTGACTGTAGGAGAACTGCTCCACAGGGTTTCCAGGGCAGTAATCTGTATGGAAGCAGACTGACACATCTTCTTCTTGGGGAGCAGCTGGGGGGGGGGTTGAAATCAGAATTGGAATCCAAGGGATTTAACCACGGCACAATCAGGAGTCCTTAGACTAGAGTAGATTTTCAGCCACATGTATTTGTTAAGTTTAAAGATTTACTGAAAATCTCTCTATACATCAACTCGTGCTCCTATAGAGTGGGTAGAACTACCCTGTGGCTTTCTGAGACTGTAACTCTTTCCTGCAGCAGAGGGTGCTGGCTTTCTCCCAAGAAGCAGCTCGGAGCTATGAACAACTGACCCTGAGGTTAGTAGCCCAGTGTGGAACCACTGCAACACCAGGGCACTGATGAGTCAGCACTAATTTGATGAGTGTGAGAGCTATACATCAAAATGATATTTTAATTGTTTGGTTTTCAACTGGTGTTTTAATCCAATTTAACTCATGGACTTCCAGTGGATTCCGGCTTATAGAGTATTATAATCCCATAGTTGTACAAGTTGTTACAAGTTACATAGCTGTTACAAGTGCAACAACATCATATGTAATGTTTATTTAACATGCATAAAGGTCCAGAATTTTATTCTGAATCGTCATAAATTGTCCATTAATATACAGTATAATGTTAGTGTTGAAGGAGCATTATTTTAGTACTTATAATAAATCATACAAAAATAGTCCTGGTCATGCAGATTCTCAGCACTTGACTGTTAACCAAAGCTAACAGCTTGAACTCACCAGCTTCTGTCCAGAAAAAGACACAGCAGATGATCTCTGTAACAGTGCAGCCTTCAAAGCTGAGTGGGGCAGAGTTACGCTTTGTTCCACGGTGTTGTAATGGCTCAGCAGCAGTGTGCTTCTCTGTTTCTTAAATAATAGACTAAATTATTTAAGGTACTTATTGAGAACTCCCAAACTCCTTATAATATGAGGTAATAAATATAAAAAGTAAATAGTTTATGAAAAAAATCAGCTTTGTCATCAGCAGAGTTTGGTTTTGATTTTTAATTTAATTGCATTTATATAGCAGTTCATGATTTAACAATAGATGTTTTATTGAATTTTGTCAAGTTGCTTAGGGCTATATCAACTTTCTTTTTATTATTCAATATTATTCTGTCTTTTATGTATTTTATTTTACAGATTTTTAAAAACAATTATTGATCACACTGGTAAAAGCATTTTAATTTCAATTTATTTCTATTATTTTGTGTAGGACGTAACAATGGACCCTCCTGAGGTATATTCTCCAAATGTATCTTTTATCACCTACTTATGGGGACTTTACGGGACATTTAATTCTACCATCCCTATACACTTATAATGTTGCCTGTCCTCAGGTTAATAATCAAATACATTATTAAAATGATAATGACAAAGAGGTAATACTAGCTGCAGCCAGGAAGTAAATAAACAAGGTGCATTCAGGTTTAAACCTCTAGGTTACATGGATGTTAGGAAGCATTTCACAGTAAACGTCTGTTAAAAGCAGAATTTGTTCCTTGGGACAGCAGGATAAACAAGCAATCCCAGGCAGAAAGTGACAGAATAAATTCTGTCAAATCTGTAGACACTAGTCACAGGGTTCCAGCAACTTTAAAACAGCTGAATAAAAAGAGAGTCCAAAGAGAGCTTATAAGAAGTAGGTTTTCTTTGGTTTCATGCTCACGTGCACCCTACTCTCTCTCAAGGTGAGGGTGACAGGTTTAAGGCAACACCAGCAAACACTCTCCTAGAGGGATCTGGTGTCGATCTAGAAATAGGAAAGCAATTAACACTATTGAGGTCTGCTTAATAGTAAATTGGTGTGTTTGTGTGTGCGTGCGTGCATGTGTGTGTGTGTATGCATGTGTGCGTGCATGTGTGTGTGTGTTCTGGCTTGTCTGGGACTGCCTGCATAACCTAAGCAAAGGACCCCTCTCAGTTTGGCCTCTCTGGCAATCGCACACACAGCTGAGTGGTAGGGGACAGAGACCAAGGGCTGTGATGACACGGAGCCACCTAGGGCTAAAAAATGCCATGCACACAATTAATAGATGCCTCAAAGCTGAACAGAGAAAGCAGAAAGATATTTTCATTTGGAGATGAAGGTTTTCAAAAGTACTGTGTGCACGAGCAATTGCAAAAGGGGACATTGTATGGTTTAAATTCAAGAAAGGTGTGTTTTAGAGTTGTATTATTTTACCAGACTTACCGAATCTTTATTCAATAAAGCAAATAATCCAAGATGCTAGACCATATGAGAATTAATCATCTTTTTTCTGAAAGGTGACTATAATCAGAAAAACTAAAAGAAGTGTTAGCAAAGATGTGGAAATATGGAAACACAATTGATTTGCTGCCAGAAATGTAGAAGATAAAATACTGCTGTGGAAAACAATTTGGTCATTCCTAAAATAAATAAGCGAAACCTAGACTTACTACCTGGCCCTGAAACCCCATTACTATGACAAAATCTTACACCCAGATTATTCATAGGAGTATTACCCACAACCACTAAGAGATAAAATAATACAAGTGTTCTTAAAGAGATTAATGTATAAATGAAATAGATAATATTATTCAATTGAAGATAAATGAAATTATAATGCAAGCTATCACATAAAGAAATACTTAAATATTATGCTGAGTAAAATAATTTTAAAAATGGAGAAATCCTGAATGAGCACATTCATGTGAAATTCTAGGGCAGGCCAAATTGTGTAGACTATAGTTTATTTGAGGAAGCATGGGCTGGGTGAACAGGAAATAGGATTAATTGCTACAGGGACTCTATGAGCCTCTCTGTGATGTAATAAAAACTTTTGAAACTAGATAGTGGTAATGACTGCACAGGTGATGAATATAATTAATGTCACAGACTTGTACACTGAAACATGGAATTATATGGAAACTTTTATCTTCTATCATAAAATATTTTAAGGTTATAGTTGGGAGATGAGACACACATGAAAGAAAAAGTGAAAAATATTAACAGATACTATGAACAACATGGTGTTCTGCATTAGAATTTATAGCTGAGAGGGATTAATAGAGAATATGGTGAAATATAAAATCATTTTAGTAGTATATACATGTATGTGTATTTTTATATATATAATTCTCAGGTACAGATGTCAAATTATAGTAAGGAAAGATATGATGAAAAGAATAAAATAGCTAAATCTTTTCTTCTTAACTAATAATAAATAAGCATTACCTAGTGTAATTTGTTATGAATAACAGAGAGGCCCAAATAAAAATGATCAGTCATATTTCTCTTTTTGTTGTTTCTCTCTTTCTTGATTTATTCTTCTACCATACCTACCTTCGTTACTTCACTGTTGTATCCAGAAGGGGGTTGTACTTTTGCTGCTACACTGCAGGAAAAGAAAACTCCATGACCACGATGCCCATCCATGCACAAACTCACACCCAAGCATTTCCCCCTTCTATTTAATTTTATTCTTTTTCATTTTAAAAGGCTAGCATGGGTCATTAAATTGAACAGAATACCTAAATATGTTGTCACCATTACTTGCAAATATTCTATGATCTCAATTTCAAAGGATTCACTGTGCAATTAGCTCTTCCCTCTCCAGCTCTCTTTATGGGCATCACTCCACCAAATATTTTACCTAATTCTCTAAAAGGCGATTCTGGCTCAAACCATGACATTTTCAATTGTCTCATACGCATGCAGAAACAAAACACTGAAAAAGATAGGCCAAAGAAGAATCAATGTCTTTGCATTAGTTGCCATCGAGTTGGCTCTGACCCACACCTGCTCTATTCACAGCGGAACAGAACACATGGTCCCGCGCCACCTTCTCAATGATCCCTGTGCTTGAGGCCATTGTTGCAGCCATTGTGCCACTCCATCTTCTTGAGGGTCTTCCTTTTTTCCACTGCCCTTCCATTTTACCAACCAGGATGTCCTTCTCCAGGGACTGGTCTCTCCTGACAGTAGGTCCAAATTACATAAGACAGAATCTTGCCATCCTTTCCCCGAAGGAATACGCTGGCCCTGCTTCCCATGCAGATCTGTGCATCCTTTGAGCAGTCCATGGTACTTTACATACCCTGCTCCAGCACCACAATGTTAACGCCTGTTCAAAGTACATGTTCAAAATGTATCACCAAATTCAATTCCTGCATTTGAATATGCCATGGACTACCAGAAACACAGAAAAATATGGTTTAACCTGAATGCTCTTTCCAAGCCAGGATTGTGAGATTTTGTGTTATGTAACTTTCAACATGTTATCAGGAATGCTTTATCCCTGAAGATGGATATGAAGTTTAGTAAAATAGAGTCGGTCAAAAGAGGAAGACCCTCACGTGAGATTGATGGCTGATAAACTGGCTACCACATTAGGCTAAGACAGTACCAATCGTGACGATGGCTCAGTACAGATCAGTGTTTGATTCTGTTTTTCATGGGATCATTATGAGTTAGGTCCAACTAAGTATACCTAAATCAATCTATCAATCACTATTTTTGCCACCTATTCACCATTGCTCTGTAATCTCATCTCTGTAATTCCTTCCGTGGCAAAGTCTTATTTCACCATTCTAATACTGCTGCTGCATATACCATCAACTCTTCTAACCTTTCCTACTTCATAGCTCAGCAAGTCCTTGGGCAACACAAAGTGGTAAGCTTGAAGTTATTAACCAAAGGATGGTAGTTCAAGTCCTCTCAGAGATCTCTTAGAAGCAATGGTTGGCATTTTGTGCCCAAAATATGTATCAGCCATTGAAAACCCTCTGGAGTACATTTTTACTTCGGAACACATGTAGTTGCTATGAGTTGGAAACTACTGAACTTGACACGAACAGGTTTGGTTTTGACCCTAGTCTTTTATTTTATTTTATTTAAGGAGGAGTAGTGGGTTACAAATCGGGATGCTAACCCCAAGGTCATCCATTTGAAACCACCAAGTGCTCCATCAGAGAAAGAGGAGTCTGTCTGCTCCCCCCAAATTACAGTGTATGAAACCTAAAAGGGAAGTCCTACTCCATCCAGTTAGGCTTGGCGGTAACGCAGCATCACCCTGATGGAGGTGAGTTTGCTTTTGTTGGTTCTGGGCCTGCAAAAGTCACGTTGTATTGAGTGGGAAAACAGCACCCATCTACGCTGACCGAGGTTAAAACAAATCAGGAACACTGACGTCAAGGTTAAGGTGCCCTGGTAGTGTAATGGGTTATATATTGACCTGCTAACTACAAGTTCGGACATTTGAAACCATCTGTCATTTCACAGGAGTAACATGCAGCTGTCTGCTCCTGTAAAGACGTGCTGTCTCAGAAGCCTAGGAAGCACTTCTGCCCTGTTCTGTCGAGTCAGTATGAGATGGTAATGCTTTTTGTTTGTTTGTTTTTAACCTTAAGATTATCTAACTGATAAAATAACAAATTGTGTGTGTGATTTCCATACTTCATAAAGTAAAAACTCAGATGAGGCCATTCAAATTCTGCCACTAGCACATCACCATATTTACCTTTCATTATGTATGCCCGTGGACTCGGTCTCCTTTTCCAACATTGCATCTTTTCTTACCTGCTCCACTAAAACTGGCACGTGTGCATTAAATTCTATAATATCACAGTCAAAATCAGTAAGATAATTTTTCCTTTTTTCTTCTTTAACACAACAAAATATTACCCTGTTACCACTGAATCCATTTGGACTCAGTGACTCTATAGGACGACAGAGCAGAACTGCCCTTTGAGTTTCAGAGACGGTAAATCTTTAGAGATAGTGGATAGCTTTTCCTTTCTCCTCTGGAGCAGCTGGTGAGTTTTGACCATGGACGTTGTGCTTAGAGCGTCTCAGTGCACAGCCCACCCTACATCAGCAGGGCCCTCAACTCCCTGAACCAAGTTGAGTAAACGGCATTCATTAGGCTTTCAGTAAACATGCTTTGATAACGAAATGAATAGATGCAGTTTTTGTTGGCAACAATCTACAGTTAATAAAAAGGGTAGGAGAGATATTAATATTATTGCTGATTTTCCAATGTATAAGTTTGATGGGGCTTTACAACCTCAATATATTGCTTAAAAGTAAGTAACATCGGCCCTAAAGTATATCCTAATTTTAGAAAGGATTACTAATGCTGGTGCAGCGGAATGCCCACTTCACTTGAGCTTTTATTGTTCTTCCTGAATCTGGCTCATTAATTCATTTTAATAATGTCATAGCAGGCAATCAATGTGTACTCTCCATATTAATGGGCATAAAACTTGTCCCACTTCCAGAATACATATATAAGCTTTTATGATGTGGTATTTATTGAGAAAATTGCAGTAATAGTATTGATGTCCCATCAGTTAGGGTCTTAACCTATAATTGATAATGTGTTTCCTTTCATTTCAAAGGAGACAATCAAGTTCTAAGCTAATTGGGTAAAATAACTCATAAATTTTAAGAGAAAAATCTTGTTTTGAATCAAAATACATTCATAAGTTCAGAAAATTGCATTTACAATACTTGTTTTACATTTACAGGTTGTTGTCTTGTTTAAAGATGATATACAGCACTCACTTTCTAAACCCGACATGCTACACTGACATCATGATTATCTTCACTCTGAACAGCCACTTACTTGCTGTAGAATTCTCTGGATAGTCACAAGTAGTGGTCTAAGTTATTTTATTTTTTATTATGGATAAATGTAGTTTCACTGGCAATATGTTAGCTTCATAGTTGAAAAACCTTAGTATTCTATGCTAATTTTGATTAATATGGTCACAACTAATAAAATTCTGAAAGACATTATAAACTGCACAATTTAATTCATGTGGTAGCGTTTTTTATATTTTCGCCTAAAATCAATGAAAGATATTTAACTTTCATTAATGAATATATTTTATGACAAAACTATTCAATATTATTCTAGTTGGTAAAAGTGCAGATCTTCTATTTATTTTCTTTTAAAGCAGTAGTTCTGTTCCCATACATAATATAACCGGGAAGGCTATGATGCCAATTACATACATATAGATTGAGCAAACATGGACAGCTGGAGAGATAATGAAAAGGTGGGTGGTTATACAACATTCAATGATTTCCTAAACATCCCCTTTCCACATCATGGACAATGTACCCAACGTAAGACTTACTGCCTTAAAGAATAATAAAACCAAAATCAGAAAATTCCTCAAAACTTCCAAGAGCAAATACTTTTCAGAAATAATGTTTTGCCTTCTAAGCTCCTAGATTAAAAAATACATATGTAATGTATTATGTTTCTTATTACCTTGCTATATAATAGATGTCCAGACAAGACTTACGCTTGCACACTTTTGTTGAAGTGCCCCAAAGTTTCAATTTATAAGGATATTTATTTTCCAGTCAGCCGCTCTAGTCACTTAGAATTAAGTCAGCTGTATCCATAGACATTCCTTTCTCTTTTACTGCAGCTAAACACTAAGGTTGACACAGAATAGATCCAGTTTCTAGAGGAGTCATTAATGATGCCCTCTTTTACTACAAAAATGTGCTGGGATAGGCAATAAATTATATGGTCACTCTAAATCTCATTCCTCTATTTTTCCTTATTCTGGTATTCTGGAGGAGAGATGGTGAGGGCAGTTTTGCAAAAATATTTTTACCACTGCACTAAACCCACTTCTCTTTCTTACATGCTACTCTGGGCTACTGAGCTCCCCGTTAGTTTATGCCATTGAGTCACTTGCACCCACTATGCGTGCTGTTGATCCTCGCCCTGAATACTGCACGCAGTAAGTATCGTAGAACACCTGGACCATAATAGCCATAGGACACTTCGACTTTTACCACATACTCTCCATTCACAAATCATGTTGGTTTGTCTTCCTGCTTTCTGATCATCAGGGCTTAGCGCTATTTTATCTTTAAGAAAACAGAAACTCGTCCACAGTTTTGCTTTTTAAAGTGATTTCAGTGCAGTTCAAAATAAACTGTTACACATTTTGTCCTGTAGATTTTACAAGACAAGACCCATGAAGTCAGAGGGTTTGCGGGGTTGCTGAAGTTGGGGTCAAGATGCTGCATGTCACGTCCTCAGCCATTATTTCTTTCAATGTATAACTTTGGTCAATGCATTTTCACATAGGGCCAAACTCCGGCCTCCATAGTGAACGCTTCACTGCAAAGTAAGCTTTTATCTTGTCTTCAAATTTATATTTATTTGATGTAATTCTAAAGTTGGCAGATAAAACATGCTGTTTGGGTTTTTTTCCCCTCTCTTTTACAGAATTATTTGCCTCAGCAATATTTAAAAGAAATGGTTAAATTGCTATAAAGACTACACATTATTCTTGTAATGCATGCCTGAAGATGTACATGTTTTAAATGGCACTGAAACATTGAGTTTGTTTTGTTTTGTCCTT